TAGAGGAAGTAAATAGCCAGACTTCTTACACGCGGGCCCTGTGCCTGGGGCACACGTCTCAAGAGAAAGCGGGCGGGAGTCTTATCACACGTTCTAGATCCAGCCTGGGCGCTGGGGAGCATCGCTTTTGTCATGTGCACCAGTCATTAGAAGCAAGTCACCAAGGCTGGCCCACATCTAAGAGGAGGGAGCCCCGTTTTTGACAAGAGAAGTGCCAAGAGCTTAGGGAAGGAACGTTTTGAAATCACGACATGCCCATGGCACTTCTCACTCGCTCTCTTAGAGCAGCAGTTCCAAGTGTGGCTCGCCACAAGGAGTTTACGTCGGGATGGACATCGGCACGCTGCTGCCTTCGTCCAGAAAGTCTTGTCAGCTGGCATAGACCAAGGGCTTAGCCACCAAGTCGACTCCCGTCCCGGGACCAGCTCCTCACCTCAGCCTCTAACAGCGAAAGGACATGTCCCCGCCACCCCCAGCAGCACTGTGACCACCAACGACCACCCCACGCCCGCAGCCCTCTCCCTGGTTTACAGGGCTTAAAGTTTATACAATTTGAGAAGCCCCCACTTATAAAAAAAAAAAAAAGAATAAAAATTTTATGACTACAAAATTAGGTTCAATGTGAATATAAGGAATGAGAAAAGAATTCACAACAAATTACACATTTTCTAAGGTTGACAAATACCCAAATATCAAAAAATCTGATTTTACTGGCTGTGGGACACCTCTGAACACTTTGTTCCTCTACCTTGTTGGGCTATGTCCTCTTTGCCCCTTCCCGTGATAATGATTTTGTAATATCAGAGAGGACTAAAACGATTCCTCAATCTTTCCTATAGCATGGCTGATCAAAAATTTGTTTTTTGAATTATTGATACTTCAGAAAAATTTCTTTCATCTTCACAACTCTTATTGGCATAGTCATGCGAATTTTAGAACCGTTGCAAATGTGGGGAAAGCCTTACCAAGTCCTTTCATGTCTGAGCTAGATTACGGAACATGTCGCGCATTCCTGAACTCACCTTTAATCCTCGGGAAGAGCACGGCGTGTCACACCGCACCCGCGACCGCGAGCACACTCCCACAAGAGCACACTGCTTGGGGCAGGCGGGGATGGATGAAACTGAACCTTCCTCTTTTAAGTCCACACATCTGCTGACTGCAAGAATGTTCCAGATCTAGCATCTGGCTCCACACATTTCAAGCCTCATTTCCCCTCCACGACCCACCTCCTCCCTGTGCCAGGTTCTGTGGGGCGTGTTCACGTCGCAGTTCCTACAGCCTTGGCCTTGCGCCAACGCCGGGGTGACGGGCTCCATGGGCAGAAAGTGTCCCAGAGGCCAGCCCCACCCCAGGAAGGCTGGCCGTGACCTGCTGACTATGGAAGGAATTGCACACCACACAAATGTGTCCCTGACTCTACTTACCCATAGCCAGATCCCCAAGTGCCACGTGGCCTCACCCAACAGGAGAGAAGTGTGATGGAAAGGAAGCTGGGATGGAAACAGTTGGGATGGAAGCTCTTAACCAACTGCAGTCAAAGCACCTCACTTTCGCAAATTTTATAAAATCCTGGGAGTATTCTAACACAGCGCCAAGGCTCAATCACCAGTGAGGGGCCTCCGGCTAAATAATTCCGCAGCAAGTCACACTTCTGCTCCGCCGTATCCAACCAGCTCTGCCCCTGCCGCCCGCGCCACACCTGCCGGTCCCCTCTCCTCCACCATCTATCCTCCCTCTCCACTGGATCATGCCGCCAGCGTAAACACGTGCAGCAGTTTCTCCTCATGTAAAAATGAACTCTCGTGCCGCCGCGTCCGCCCCACTGCCCGTCTGTCTGCTGCCACTGCAGCAAAACTCCTTGAAGAAGAGGCGCGTGGGCGGCCCGGCCCCCGCCCCGTGGTCGGTGCCCAGGCCCAGACGCAGATGTTCCAACAGCGTCTCTCACAGCGGCCACTCCCTTCTCCTTGCTGCTCTCCCCGTGGCTTCTGGGATTCACTCTTCTTCGCTCTCTTCCAACTTGGCTTGCAGCTCCTCAGTGGTCTCCTTTGCAGAATAGGATCCTCCCTGTCCCCCTGGACTTGGTAACATCGAGGTGTCCCCAAGCACAGCCTCCAGCCATCTCTTCTCCCCATCTACACTCTCTTCTTCGGTGACCTCGGCCAGGCTTGTGGCTTTAAATACTGGCTGCAATTCGAAAGTGCACATCCCAAGTGCACACCACTGTTCACGGCAACATTGTCACAACAGCCAAAACACGGAAGCAGCCCCATGTCTGCCGACGGATACGGAGATGAGCAAAGTGGCACCTACAGTGGGATTATTCAGCCGTGAGAAAGAGAAATCCTGACATGCTACGACACGGGCGGACCTGGAGGACATCACGCTAAGTGCAATAAGCCAGTCACAAAAAGACAAATAATTGCACAGTTCCACTTACCCAGTCAAATCCACAGAGGCAGAAAGTAGAATGGTGGCTGCCAGGGGCTGGGGAGGGGAACGGAGAGTCATGCGTTAATGGGCCGAGTTTCGGTTCTTTGGGCAGAGAAGAGTTCTGGAGACAGATGGTGACTATGGCTGTACATCACTACATTTGATAACACTAAACTGTACACTTAAAAATGGTTGAGATGGTAAATTTCATGTTATCCCACCACCATACAGAATCTGGAAAAAGCAGTGCTCCTCTGCAGCTGGCCCTCTCCACCGAGCTCCAGAGCGGCACACCGGGCCTGCTGCACGCGTCCAGCCGGGAGCCAGTCGCACCTCAGCTCCGTCTTTCCCTCTTGACCCCTCGTGCTCCCGCCCAAGTCCTTTTTTGTTCTGGAGACAGGGTCTTGCTCTGTCACCCAGGCTGGAGTACAGTGGCGTCGTCACAGCTCATTGCAATCTGGAACTCCTGCGCTCAAGTGATCCTCCCGCCTCGGCTCCCGGAATGCTAAGGTTAGCCACAGTCCCTGGCCCCAAGTCCTTGATTAGCGGAGTATCCATCCTTCCAGTTGGTCAGGTCAAAACCTGAAAGTAACGTACGTATGATCCCTCCTTCCCTTTCACCCACTTCCAGTCTGTCAGCAACTTCTGCTGTCTGCACTTCACGGCCAGTCCCGAAGCCAGCTCTTGTCACCACCTCCCTTGCCACCTTGCAGCTTGGGCCTTCAGTGCAGGGGCCTCCTGCTTCCCCCCTCCCTGCCCTCCAGGCCATTGACCCGACACCCTCCATCGCCGGCCTCTCAGTATGGCTCTGGCCCTGTGCGTCCCAGCCCTGCTGATTTTTTGCACAGTGTCGCCCCTCTAATATTCTCTGCACTTCCCTTATTTTGCCCCCCCACACACTGTAAGCAGTAGTCTCGGTCACCACTGTACCCCCAGAGCCTGGGAGGTGCCCCCATTTGAGCTCCCGCGGCACAAGACCTTTGGGGCTTGTGTCCTGGTCATTACCCTTCCAAGTTGGGCACCTTGTCACCTGGAGCAGATCCCTCTCCTCCTAGCCTGGACTCCCTCCCAGACCGGGCCTCCCGACTCCCAGGGAGGGCCCAACCTCCCACCCTCCTCTAGAGCAGAATTTGAGTCGTAGCGACCTCGCGAGTGTTTGACTGTAACATAAGGCTTATTGCCCTTTGCAGTTCTGGAATCATCTGCTGACCTGCTATGGACAGAAGTGAGCTCGTGCTCCACACACACGCACGCCCTTCCCTCTCCCAGCCTCCTAGTAGAGTTTCACCACAGAGTTGTACCAGAGCAGTGTTATTTGTATTTACATAATTTGTATGTAAATGTTTTTCACAGCTGAGTCATGAAGGGTCTATGGTTCCTCTTCCCCGATATTTATTATTTGGCATTAATAAATTGGTTTTGCTTTTTTGTTTTTGAGAAACCCAAGCCCTAAATAGTTTTTATTTGCTTAATTTTCTGTATCTACTTCCCATCTGAGACCGCAGACCCCCTGCTGGGAGTGCAAATTAGGTGCCGACACTGGCCCCACGCGGAGGGGCCTGGCGCTGCCCACAGGCCTCCAGAGCCTGCTGCGCCCGCCCTCCCGCAGGCAGCAGTGACGATGGCTGCAGGGCAGGTACGTTTTTGGGGCCCCTGCAGACCTTTCTTGGGTATTGCTATTGCACCCACGTGGGGTTCTCCTCAGTGACCCCTTCTCGGGGGTTGAGGGGTTCATGGTTCGCCCTATGTGGTGCTGATCGCTCCCTTGACCACACCCTTTCCCCGTGGCTTCCTGCTTCTCCTGCCACCGTCCCAGGGGGCTTCTCTTCCTGCTGCGGATTTCCGAGCCATGAAAGCCTCCCTGAGGCGAGCAGCAGGGTGCTGATGGGACCCCGGCAGTGGGGAGAGCCTGGGCGTTGCAGGCTCCGAGGCCACCAACCCTCTCTGCTGTTGCCCACCTGCACACGTGCCTGCCTCCGCCACAGGACCCTGCGCTTTTGTCCTTTTGATTGTCTCTGAGGACTTTTCATCTACCCCTGACAACTGCGTGGTATGTCCGCCATAAAGCTGTGGGGACGGGTGCCACTCCCCTGCTCCACCCCTGCCGAATGTGTCTTAAACACTTTACACAGACATGTCCTACGCACCAAAGAGTTCACACAGCAGATACATTCCTCTCAGCCCTCCCTCTGGGAAAACTTTCGTCACCCATCCTATGGGCCCTTCCTTGGGTGGGGTTTGGGTCAGGAAGACACTGTCTTCCTACCAGTACCAGGCACACAACCCCCCACAGTGACCTCCTTGCTGCTGGCACAGGCTCGGCCCAGTGACCCGCCTTCCCCCAGGGCCAGCCCCGTGGCCTCCCAGGTAGGGCCACCCAACAGAAACCAGGCAGGCAGGGGTTCAGCCTGAACACTTACCGGACGTGTCACCCCAAGTAACGCAGAAGGACTAATGCACAGCCCCGCCCCAATCTCTTCCCAGCGCCGGCCAGGGCGACACTGCACTGACTTTCTGGCTATGCCGGGACACTTAGGAGAACTGGAGATACAGAGACGGCCAGACTCTCATACAATTGGTTTAATTTTTTTTTTCAGCAGGAGAAAAAAGAATAAAGTTACAAGATTCTTTTAATATTTTCACAATGTTAAAACTAAAACTGAGCTCTAGGCTATGTGTGTAAGTAAATCTAGAACACAAAAGGGTTAAATAAGATTTTCTCTTTTAAAGATACAAGAATTTAAGCTTTCCTTACATTTAACAAACTTCACAGAACAGACACTGCAGGGGAACAAGCCCTTCCTCCCCTACGCCCAGCTCTAAGCCAGGAAGTGCGCACGGCTCCGATCCCTGTGTGTGGCCGGCTCCCAGAGCCGCTGCTGCCCACTGCTGCCTCCACGCAGCAGCCGGCGGGGCCTGGGGAGGGCCAGGAAGGTCGCGCGGCCTCTTCGGGACCAGAGCTTGGTGGGGGCCTAGGCAGGCCGCCTCACTGAGGAAGGCCATGCGGTGGCCAGAGGGCCGTGGCTTGACAGCAGTGGTAAACGCTGGACAGACCTGGCCCCTCTTGCCCTGGGCTGCCCTAGAGCAAGACACTGGTCTGGGTCCTGAAGCAAGAATTAAGGCTGGGGATTTTGCAGCGGATTCCACTCTGGTGGGGGTGGAGGGTGGGAAGAGCATGATTTCCTATTTCAGTATTTCGGATCAAAAAACATTTGCAGTTGCAGGTGTTCAGCTGTTAATCTGCAGACAGAGTTGAACTGTTTGTAGTTTTACAAAAAGGAAAGTTGCTGGGTTACACTATTCCAGTAGCCTACGTGCGGGCAGAGCCACACCGCCTCTGCAGGAGCCTCTTGCCGCCACCGACCTGGGTCAGCTGGGGCACTGGGAGCAGGGGGACTGCTGACCCCCCGGGCTTTCAAGGGAGCCCTAATCCTGTCTACTTGCACCCCCCCCCTTCCCCACCTGGCCCAGGCTGCTGTGGCTACTGAACTCCTCTCTGCCCACCCTAGGCGGCACAGGCTGCGAAACACGCCCTCCCACTCCCACCTGCCAGAGCAAATGTCACTCCTGGAGCTGGGCCACAGCCACAAACCACTCTTCTAGACTGACCAAACCCCAGTCCCTGTGAAGTGTGCTGCCTGCCCTTACTAAACTTGCTGAGTGGTAGACGTGGCCTGTTGTTCTTGGGCTGTGGGGCTGCATAGAAATGAGAGCGGAGGCACGGCACCATCGCCCGGGCCCCCTGGAGGTGCGAGCAGGCTCCAGCTGGAAGGGCAGAGTCTGTGGGCAGCAGCTTCCCTAGTTGCTCCCAGCACTTCTACTGATCCCTGTTGGCTACGAAATGTCTTTTTAAAAACTCCCAATATAGAAATCTAGCTGCAGAGGTCAGGCTGTAGACCCCAGCCACAGCTGCTGTGCTGCCATTAGCCTTATTTGATCAACTGCCAGATCCCTGCACTTGGCAAATGGCAAACCAGAGCTAGTGGGGTCAGTGTGCTCTGGTCGCTTCTTGTGACCATGGGTCCTGTGTAGAAAGGTGGGTCTTGTTCGTGGACTAGTCTTGAGTGGAGCTAATTTTCAAAGTGAGGTTACTGTTTCTCTTCTTGTGTGATGAGTTTTCATAGTAAGTCAGGTAAAAAATTTCCATAAGAATCTGTCTCCCCACCCCCATTTCCAGCTCCATGGGAGAGCGAGGCCACCACCCAGCCCAGCCACGTGGCCAATCTCAGCAGCCTCCTGTGGCCAAGGCACGAGTGGCCGTCACGTATCCTGGCTACTGGGACTAAGGATAAGTGAAGAGGTGAATGGCCGAACATTAAACAGAGTTTCTGGCAAAGCCATGTGCGTCGTGGGAACTTTAACACCAGCTTCTACTCCTCTATTAACTCAGAGTCTCCATCTGGAACACTTTCCGCTTAAGGCTTTTTATAAGTTTGACTCCAGCAGTGACAGGTATGTGTTGTTTTAAATCCACTAGCCATGCTCAAAAAAAAATATTCTTCATGTTTTAATTTTATACAATGGCTAGCAGGCACCTTAGTAACCAGCCAGAAATCAATTTCAACCACCATCAACCCCTAAACTACAGTACCAGGATGGCTGGCTAAAGAAAGGAAACGGACTGGCTGTAGTCTGACATGTGCCCAGTACAAGGTATCTGGCTGACTTTGTCCTAAATAAGGCTAACATTAGTGAACTAAGAACAGCGTCATGTGGTGGCCATGCCCGGCCTTCAGGAGCACCCCTCCCCGATGCGCTGGCAGGAGCGCCCCACTTTCCGGTCCAGTTTCACCATTTTCATGATGGCTTCCTCTCGGCCGCGGCCCATGTGGTCAAACGTACAGTCATGCTGCTCGGGGAGGCGATGTAACATACAGAACACGTAACCTGCAGCAGCGAGAGGGACAGAGGAAAGAGTGTTAGGGTGACCTCCAAACGCCCACAGCCTGGCTCTTACCCTTGTCCAGGGCACAGAGGGGACATCTCGTGGGGGCACAATGGTCACCGCAGGGGCCCTTGCTGCTGAGGAGTTTATTGTGACACACCCATCCTGTTCCAACTGGGCCAGTACTGACACTCCACAGCTGCTCAAGTCAGTCTGACACCCCAGAACTCCCAATTAACGGCCACTCAGAGCTGTCCCTAACTGGACCCCTGAAGTGAAGAACCCCAAGTTGACTGCTATAGTGAGACACCACCCATTCCCTTGGAAATGAGTGGGCTCCCAGCCCCCTGCCCACCATGCAGGCAGGAGAGCACAGGACTGTCAGCTCGGCACTTGCCTGGCTTGAGCAAACTGTGACATCCACCACAAGACATGCACCATCTCTCAGAGGCAGGGAGGGAGGACAAATGATTATGGCTTAAATAATAAACTACCTCCTGTACAGCAGGGCTTGGGAGGATGGTGGGAGTGATCAAACCCAACCCACAAGTGAGTGGAGACTCTCAAAGGAAAATGGGTTGTTTTAAGCGCTAGAAAAGGTATTTCATGTAAATAGAGGAAAGGACAGAAATGTTGAGCTCAAACCTCCATCTCTAAGGCACATGGCGCTTTTAACTCCATCTGGTAGGTGGGAGGCTGCAGTGCCCACACCCCCCACTTGCCCTGCCCTCCCAGAAGTGAAGGAGGCCACAGGTCCTCTCTTTTTAGAGCAGAGAAGTCCAAAGGCGACACTGTCCCAGCGAATAAGAAAAAAAGACCAGTGAAGCTGGCCGAACAAGGCACTGAGGAGACCGTACAAAGTCCTTCTGCACAGAAACCCATGCAGCGAGGGACTCGGGAGAGGCTCAGAGAACAGAAGGAAACAAAGAGCTGCATCAAGGTGTAGCGCATCCCCTCTCCACTTGCTGGTCAATTTCTAGAAGCGCTGACAGGTGTGCCTAGCACACACACCGGCTGTCCCCTGGGTCTGTTGGTCCTCTCCTTCAGGGAGGGAGGGAGGACAAGATCTGGTCTAGGAAAACGACCCGCCCATGCTGGCTGCTCCCCAGCAGTTGGATCTGGCCACACCAGCAGGCTCTATGGCCTAGCTCAGGTCTGCAGGGGTGAGCCTCCTGGTGAATCCAAACCCATTCCTAAAACTTCTCTCCCGGTGCATCTGGAGCAGGCATCCGCCAGCAGCCTGCCGGGACAGCGCTCTCCTCACTCTCTCTCCAAGTCAAAGGCATTTCTTCTCAAAGCTCTTTCTTTGAAGCCCAGATCCAGGCCATGAAGAATGGGTGACCACTCCTTGCAAACTGTGACTCATCCATCCCTACATCCTCAATTTCTTTTCGGAGCTGTGGAGGCTGTGGATTTTAGAAGAATAGCAGAAGTTGAAGCAAGGACTGAATGGCCAGGACTGACAAGAGTTTCAACAGCCTTAAGGTTTAAGATTAACTAAACATTCAATGGCCTTAACTTTTAAGATTAACTTCACCTAGACAATATTCCTCAGCCTGAGGGAGGTGGGGGTGGGTGCAGAAAGGGTGGTCTTAAATGGCCAGGGACCAACCTGCCTCAAGGATGTAGCTGACACTCACACCCTGCTTGGAAGCCTTGAGCTCAGCCTGCGTGCAAGGACGCATGCCCACTGCCTAGGGGCCTGGGCCATCCATTGTGCAAGGAAACATTATTAACTGCTTCCCAAGGAGAGCAGGGCAATATGTTTGACTCTAAATTGGGATTCGGTTTAAGGAAAAGAACAGATGAAATTTTCGTCTCCCGAGAAGCTGAGCTCCCACTTGGTCCAAAAGGAAAGTTAAGATTAATGAGCTCATGTGTTATATTTACTGTTAAGTTCATTACTTGAAGATATTGGATACCAGTTGTCTTTCTCCTAAAGGATTTCACAGCAGGAGCATGGATGGCCTCAATATGCATCCCCATCTAACAAGCAAAATGATCTTTTCATAGCAAAGCCTACCTGGTGCGGAAGAACCTGCTGCCAGTTGGGGCTTAGGGTGGGGGCACCAACAGGATGGCATCAGGATGTGTCTACAGACATTTCTACCACCAAATCCTTATTTATTTCTGTATCATCAGCATCTATAATAACAGGGCAGAAGGACCCCTGCTGCCCCTTCCCTTCCCTTCAAGATCCGGGGATGATGATTCAGGAGAAGGTCCCAGGGGCCCTTCGCTGCTTCTGATGAATGCTGCCGGCTGAACGGAAGCTGCAGGAATGGATTACCACTGGAATAACAGCCCCTGGCTTGACATAACACCTCATTAGTCAAAGGCAGACCGATGGAGGGGAGCCTGGACTGGTTCCCTCGCCCCTGCCCCCAACGTTTGCTTAGATCTAGATCGCCTTCCGCTGGTGGGCAGGCAACTTGGTGGATTTGAGAGCCCTAGGACTGTCTGGAAAAATAAGTAGGGAGTGATAACTAGAGCAACTACCCCCAACATTCTCCCCACGCACCCAAGGATTCTTCATCCAGCCAAAATCGTCTTACTTCTCTACCCAAGTTCTGTGTACCTGGTTAAGACATACCTTGATACTTAGCTTTGATTTTTGAAAGGTGAAAACTATTAAACAGCAGGTAGATTTTGGAAACAGAACTGGTAACAATTAGAATATATGGCAGTCTAATTCACTGGGGAAAAGTCTGGGAGGAAATTTTGGAAGACTAACTTCCCAAGCTGCTGCACTGAGACTGAGGTTATGAGATGGCATAAATTAAGTTCGATTCTCTCTCCTGTCAGGATCACTCACTAAGAGGAAGTTACATGCTGGAACTTGTCCCAAATGCTGAGTAGATACTATCCACTGACAGCCACCGATGGCTGATGCATTCTGGTGTCAGTAGTTAGGAGTGGGCTGTCCTGGGTATGAGGGAGGGAGAGAAGAGGAAGAGGGTGGGAATGACTGGTGGGTGGGATTAAATCTTTATCCTCTTTTCTTGGTACCCCCAGATCTGCTCCTAGAAACTGCTGCAAGTGTTATGAAACTAAATTGTTCTCTGACTGAAGTCTAGATACTAGGCTGGGTATGCAGAGAGATGAGTTCAGGCTGCTGGGGAAGACAACTGCTCCCCATTTCAGTGATGAGCACAGTTTTAGCGCATGAGGGATTCTCAGTCTTGTCTTGGCTAGGCCAGCCTCAACACTTCCTCTACCCCATGCCTTAGAAAGTAGGTGGGGACCTTCCGGAGGGGGCCACAGAAGGTAGTGTCTAGAAGACATGAAAACATAGAGGACACAGAACTGATCAGCCAAACCATGACACTGGCTCTAGTATCACCCAGAGCATCATGCAATTCTTTCCCCCTCCATATTTAAAAGAGTTATATATTAAAATTAAATTTACTCATTCACATACATATTATCCCATGTCTACATTCTCCTTATGTAAAAATGAACTGTTTAGCAGCATATAATTTTAAAAACAATTTCAATATACATTTGTGTACAATAGCTATACAGCATACAGTGCTTTGGAGGGATAAAGAAGGATAAGGTGTAGGGGAATATGATTAAAAGAATGCTCACCCCCAAAAGAGAGGAAAATAGCCAAAGTAAAAGTTTTTGAAAACATGAGCTGCTTACTAAATGTGGTTTAACCTCAGCCATTTCCCCTGCCAAGTCACGTGACTGGCTGCCCTGCTCCTCCGAGCCCAGGATTACTGGATTTTCATGAAATACTGGCCCAGGAGGAAGCTGCAGAGCTCCTTTAAGACTGCCTGAGTTGGCCGGGCAGGTGGCTCAGCCTGTAATCCTAGCACTCTGGGAGGCCAAGGTGGTGGATCGCTCAAGGTCATGAGTTCCAAACCAGCCTGAGCGAGACCCTGTCTCTACTAAAAAAATAGAAAGAAATGAATTGGCCAACTAAAAATATATAGAGGAAAAAATTAGCCGAGCATGGTGGCGCATGCCTGTAGTCCCAGCTACTTGGGAGGCTGAGGCAGTAAGGTCGCTTGAGCCCAGGAGTTTGAGGTTGCTGTGAGCTAGGCTGATGCCACAGCACTGTAGCCCAGGCAACACAGTGAGACTCTGTCTCAAAAAAAAAAAAAGACTGCCTGAGTTGTTTTCAGAAAACCTGCACAAGACACTCAAGAACCTGTGGGCGTGTTTGCTTACTGGCAATGAAGAGCGATTTGGGACAAGCCCTTGATTAAAAAGGGAGGGTGAAGCAACTCTGTAAATACTTTGTTCCACGGCCCCACCCTTCCAAGCAGGGCCATCCTGGGCACGGGAAGAGGGAGAGTAGTACTAGTGAGGAGGCCCAACCACAGCACATAGTGCCAGTCACCCCTTGCGATCTGGGCTGGAAGGTCTCCCCAGGGTCTCTGACAGCTACACCCTCAGTTTGAGAAGACCCTCTTCAGCTGAGTAGCCACCATCAAGAGGGGCACACGGAACAGGAAGGGAAGAAGAGGATGCCTGCCAGACAGCCACAGTGGCTGAACCACCACAGGCTGTCATCCCAGGGCCCTGCCCAAGCCTGTGGCTATGGACAGCTGTTGATGGGGAGAGGGCAATAGCTTCTCTGACTCTGTCACTAACGGACACACAGATTAGGGCAGAAGGCAAAGAAATACAATTCAAGACCTATCTAAACTTCTGTCCTAAAGGAATCCCACATGAATGAGAAACATAGAAGGCAGCTTTCAGGTCACTCAACCTAAACAGAGAGGCCTGGGGGGCTTCTCTTGGGATGACAAGCACATCAATGAAGGCCACTCATGTGTATTAACTAGCACATCTGGACCCATTCCTCCCAACACAGACACAGGGCCGATGGCCCCAGTGACCCGTGTTCCACAAGAGACTTGAAGATGCCCTATATCTGAAGGGTCTTGGAAACACGTTTGCAGAAGAAAACTAAACGGAGGCTCGTTCTTTTGAGATTCATAAAGGTTTGACATGCAGGTTTCTAAAAAGGCTCATCTGGTGGGAACCC